AAAGCAACCAATTGATATGTCTCTCTCACATCCATGTTTCTCTCTCTCCTTCCCTCCCTCCCTCCCACTTGCTCTAAAAAGCAATGGAAAAAATATCCTCAGGTGAGTATTAACAAAACAAAAAAGATCTGCCCTTGGCTTGCTGAACAAAACTGACAAAATTATACAACTAGTTACCATTACAAATCTAATTCAATTTTCCCTTTTCCTTCAGTTACCTTTTTAATCTAACCTTACACTTCATTACTTACCAGTATTCTGCATATCCTTCCAATCTTCTCATATATCACACCTCTAGAAAAATGAATACAACTTTTATATCTCACTGAGAAAATAGTGATTTCCTTTAAATGATTTCTCCAATTCAAAATGCATTCCTCTTTTCATTTCATCTCTGTTCTTCCATTCCTACCTACAGAGAAAATATGTGCCTCATCCTTTCCAGGGCTCATAAAATCCATTTCTTAACATCTCCATCAGTAACTTGCCCCATCAAAAACCACTCTTGTGTGTTATTAATCTTTCCCTTTTGACATATTTCATCCTTTAACATATAAAGATGCTGTGTGTTTTTTTAAAGTACCTTCAATTACTACTCTCTCATACTGCTACAAATTTGTCAAAGTCCTCTAATAAACTTTGTTTTTAACCTTTTTCCTAGATGATCTTTCAAATGCAGAAAATATTATAGAACATATAAAAAACAGCTATCTACCTACCACCCAAATTCAACAAGTTTAAAAATTGCTATAATTGCTTCAGTTTGTTTTTTATGTTTTTTTATTTATTTAATCCTCACCTGAGGATATTTTTCCATTGCTTTTCAGAGACAGTGGAAGGGACAGAGAGAAACATCCATGTGAGAGAGACACATAGATGGGTTGCCTCCCACACGCACCCCAACCAGGGCCAGGGATCGAGCCTGCAACCGAGGTACGTGCCCTTAACCAGAATCAAACCCAAGACCCTTCAGTCCATGGGAAAACACTCTAAGCACTGAGCCAAATCAGCTGGGACTTCTTTAATGCTACTTTCACTCTTTACTCTGCTGTAAGAATTTTAAGGAGCCACGTATCAGCCATCATAAAACATTATTTTGGCAGTTTGATACTGCATTGATTTTATAAATTAATATTGTAAAAAACTGACACCCTATTGACTTCCCATTCATGAACACCATGTTGTTATTATTTTTATTTATACTAGTTTTCACTTCTAAGGTTTGTCATTTTCATATCCACCTGACCTTTTCTCTCCCTATTTAAATTTCATAATTGTTTTAATTTAAGGGATATTAGTTGTTCACTTATCTCCTTGAAAGTCCTAAACATATAATTTGATATTTTCCAAACAAACTAATATTTTAATGTCATCCAGAGTAAACTGCTCTTCTGATTGATTTTATTTCTTCTCTTGTTCAGCATTAGATGGCTTAATTTGTTTGAGAATTCAGCTTTACAGTTGCACTTTTTGATAAATTTTTTTTTTAAATATATTTTTATTGATTTCAGAGAGAGGAAGAGAGAGAGAGAGAAACAGAAACATCAATGATGACAGAGTTCTCACCGATCGGCTGCCTCCTGCACACCCACAACTGGGGATCAAGCCCGCAACCCGGGCATGTGCCCTGACAAGGAATCGAACCACAATCTCCTGGATCCCAGGTTGATGCTCAACCACTAAGCCACGCTTGGCCAGGCTTGAGAGATTTTTTTGTGTTTCATACACTTACCACTATTTACCACTTTTTAAAACATAACCTCAAGACCATTAATTGTACCTTTAAAATTAACTATTTTTTTTAATTTTTAAAAAATATTTTTACTGATTTTTTTAAAGAAGGGGGAAGGGAGAAGAGAGAGAAAGAAATACCAGTGAGAGAGAAACATCAATTGGCTGCTTCCTCCACGCCCCCTACTGGGGTAACAAGCCCCAAAACCCAGGCATGTGCCCTGAATGGGAATCGAACCCATGACCTCTTAACCTGAGCCACACTGGCAGGGCTAAAAATTAACAATTTTTAATATCACTAGTCAGTGTTCAATTTCCCCAGTTATCTCATAAGTATTTCTCTTACAGTTAGTCTTTTCAAATCAGGAGAGCTGTCCTGAAGTAACAGTAAGGATATGCTCTCAGCTGGCAGGTTCCTAGTTGTAAAGCTATGCTTACATTCTCCTGAATCTCTAGGAATATGGTGTCATATAAACTGTGGATTCTGGCACCAGTCAGCAGCAAAGCCACTCCTTCCAGTCAAGCAAGCTGTGCCCTGCACTACCAGGAGATGCACTGCAAAACTACAGTCTGATCTCTAAAGGTGCACAATATGGCAGCCCTAGAAATAAACTCAGAAGTATATTTTTCATCAGAGGAGCCCATGGTTTCCAACTGCAATAACTCTTCCCCATTTACAACAAAGCAGCCAAACCTCTGCTGCTTTACCTGCAGGCTAGGCTAACAGCCACGGCCTCACTCACTGCTTTGCGTTCTATTCCGTTTCTGAAACATAAGAATGTTTATCTTTTTTTGAGCCCCATTTATGTCCATTTGGTTTTGTCTTTTTGTTACTTTATCAGTAATTGCTTTGTGTCTGAAAAAAGGGGTTGCCTCAAAATATCACAAATACATCTTGACAGCAACCCATGAGTATTTATCAGAATCATCTGGGAAACATTTTTAAAATTTACATTTATAGGCCCAATAATATTTCTAAGGTTGGGAAATCTAGGCACTTCTGTTATTGCTGGTCTAGAATATACTATGTGGGAATCAACAGGTGTATATTTCTGCTCTCCACTCCCTTACCACTGTTCCCACCTAGCAAGCTACTGCCAATGTTCTTTGAAAATGTCACCAATTACCAAAAAGCTGCCAAATCCAAGAGCCTCTTCTCAATCCTCATCCTAACACACCACACTATGGCATTTAACTGAAGTGGCCACCTTCTCATTCTTGAAACTGCCCTCACATGACAATTATTTTTCTTGCAATATTACAAATAGGCTCACTCTTTCTGATGGACTATTTACAACTCCTATTCCACTATGGTACCTCGCTTTAAAAATAAAAATATTCTCTCAGCCCAGTCGGCATGGCTCAGCAGTTGGGCATCAACCTATGATCCAGGAGATTGAGATTCAATTCCCGGTCAGGGCATATGCCAGGGTTTTGGGCTCGATCCCCAGCACTGGGTGTGCAGTAGGCAGCCGATCAATGACTTTCTCTCATCATTGATGATTCTCTCTCTCTCTCCCTCCTCTTCCTCTCTCTGAAATCAATAAAGACATCTTTTTAAAAAAGAATATTCTGCCCGGCCAGGAGTGGCTCAGCGGTTGAGCATCGACCTAGGATCCAGGAGATCGGGGTTTGATTCCCCATCAGGACACATGCCCAGGTTGCGGGCTAGGCAGCCCATCAATGACTCTCTCATCATTGATGTTTCTCTCTCTCTCTCCCCCCCCTCCTTTCCTCTCTCTGAAATCAATAAAGATGTTAAAAAATAAATAAATAAAAAAGAAAGAAAGAAAAACGAATATTCTCTCAGTTCTAGCTGGTTTGACTCAGTGGTTAGAGCATAGGCCTGTGGACTGAAGGGTCTGGGATTCAATTCTGGTCAAAAGCACATACTTTGGATGCAGGCTTGACCTCCGGCTCTGGGTCCGGCAACATGCAGGAGGCAACCAATCGATGTGTCTATATCTCACATTGATGTTTCCCTCTCTCTCTCTGTCCTTTCC